TAGTACCTTTGATACTCCGTCGTCTCCTAGGGAATCACAAAGTCAATTTTCGGCAAATAAGAGAAATTCAACTTAAGCTCAATCCCTGGGTCGGGTGGTACTCCAATGGGGTAGTTTGCTAGAATAAAATATTCGGTAACCTGCAAAATAGAAATAGCCAAACTAGGGAGGGAATTATTAGTTCTCACCAAAGCCTCCTCTTCTTCACACTCTTCCTCCTCCTCCTTTGGTTTACTTCCAACTTCTTCGTCACCTTCGAAAACTCTCCTTCAACTTCTTTTTATAGCTCTACTTCCTCTTTTAAAATTTCACCCTCAATTTCTTTTTCACTCTCTTGTGGCATTTTCCCTTTTTCCTCAAAATCAACGTCACTATTTTCTCTCTTGCTGTTTTGTTCCTCCACGTGATTAATTTGAGATTTAATCAGATCACGAATGCTTGATAACTCACGCTTATAACCCAATTGACCCCCAACATGCTTCACAATCGATGTTCGACTTTCCACTGGATACACATCCCCATCACATCTCATAGGCTTCTCCCTAAGCTCTCATTCGTGATGATCCCTCCTATAAAAATAATTATGCGCATATCGCTTCCTCATAATATTCTTTAACTCAGCCCAAGTTTCAATACACCTCTTACCATTCATCCGCCTAGATTTTATTAACTGATCCCACCAAACAATTGCATAATCTACAAATATGTTCATAGCCAACTTCAATTTTATCTCCCCGGAGTAATCATGGCATTTAAACACTGCTTCTACCTTTTCTTCCCATACCAAATATGCCTTGGGGTCGTTCCTTTCCTTAAATTGTGGAATTGTCAACTTCATATTTCTTAAACTACTATCAACACCGTCCCCAATAAAATTTATACTCCGCCTTCAAGTCCATCCATTCTATTTCCCATATCCACCAACAACCTCTCCAATCGCCGAATCACCCCTTCATTCATATTGACTTAAACTCCAATTAGAATGTGTGAGAATTGGGATTCAAGACTCAAAAGTAATTTGAAGTGGACAACTTTGGTTGGGCTTTTATAAATTTAAGAGAGTGGTCCTTGAATTTTGGATTGGAATGAAA